CAGCCTGTCATACTGCCATAAATGAGATCAATTTTTTTTTTTTGTAACTCTAACTTGGCCAAGCCTAGTTCCTTACAATATATGCTTCATGTAAAAATAAGAAAAATCTATTCTGACTACTCATTAGAAATTACTCTCTTGGTAGCTGATGTCAAACAGCACAAAATTACTAAGTGAAACAGTAAGCTCCAGTGGAAGTTAAAAATCCATTCAACCTCTACCATGGACATGTAAAAGAAACACATCTCATATGATATATTACTATAATGATGCTTGGAAACTTGGGAGCCTTTAAGATCTCCACATTAACAATCTGAAAATGTTCACCAGGTACTCCAGATTCAGTTACATTTACTCCCTTCTCTGTTATGACTTGAATCAGGGCCTTATCTTTCATAGGCTTGTAACTTCAAAACGCTTTCCACCTTTTTTATTATACGACCTACATTCTCACTCAAAAATGCAGAATCTTAAATAAGACTTGCTATTCAAGAAGGCAAAAAATTAAAATGAAACAAGATTCTCAACATTAAAAATTATTCATTTCCTTAACAAAGTTTGAAAATTAATTTAACAGCGTAACACAGGACCTATGATAGGAGGGGAGTCCTACTTTCCTGGAGAGTATCATAGGAGACTCTAAAAGTATGTTAAATAAAGCATGACCACTAAATGTAAACCACAAGATCCAATGGCATATTTAATCATGAGAAATTTAAAGTTTCTGTCTGAAGGAAATTTAGTACAAAAGAATGCATCAAATACAATTATACAACACACAATGGCTGAGCAGTCACTAGGGAGGCACGAATCTATAGGAACACACTAACATTACTTACTTACAGCTCTTTAAAACATCCTATATGGGTCACAGCTCCATATAGGACAATCATATAAATATGTGTATGGGGCAAGTCATAAAAATTTGGCAAGTCAAAATTTTCTAAGGACACAATCATCAAAAATTAGTTAAAAAACATTAAACAATGAGGTGTTTCTGGTGGTGTTTGCCCATGCTGAATCACATGGCTTTACTGTAGCCTTGGTTCTGAACAACACATGACCCACACACAATGTATTGTGTGAATCAGTCATACATATGCCAGCAAACGTTGACTCAAATACCTTGGCTTAGGTTCCAGAATACTCTATGTTACAAACAACAGTTTCTTCATTGTATATACATACAGTTTTCTCCTCTTTTAGAAACTTGATTATTAAATTATAGAGAAACAATTAAATATTTTCATACTACCACTTTTCAGCATGTATAAAATTAGAATATCTTTATATTCTACACTGCTACATAATGTTTGGTTTTAAAAATGCTGTTTAAATTGTTGAATTAAATTTTGGTTTGGGATTAGGACATAATTTCTAAAACTTTCTGAAATAGCTATAAATAATCATTTTGTTCCATGGTATGTATGTTTTCTACTCTCAGCACTGACAATTATAAATTTGCTCAGTTCTGATTCTGAAAAGCACCAAAGATGGTCTACAACTGTATTGAGCAACAAATATTTAGCTAAAATTTTAAAAAAAGATTTATGACTATTTTGCTTGCATGCATGTCTGTGCAGCACATTCATGTAGTGCCTTCGGGGGCCAGAAGAGGGCACTGGATCCTTTGGAACTGGAGTTACAGAGGGTTGTTAGCCACCACGGGGGGTGGGGGTGGGGGGTGGGGGGGTGGGGGTGGGGAGGGTGTGGAGACAAGTGCTGGGAACTGAATCCCAGGTCCTCTGCTAGTGCATCAACTGCTTTTAACCAGAGTCATTTCTTCAGCTCCTGACTTAATTCTTTATGTAAAGAAAAATAAGCATATCACTCTCATTAATATGTAAATTTCCTTCGGTCTTGCATAAGTGATAAAACTATATGTATGCTTCAAAATAAATTTCTTTTATTTATTGTCAGCATATGCTTGATTTGTATGCCTATTTTATATACCTATAAAATACCTTGGGGTGACTACCCCTCTGGTTTCCACAGCCACATATATACATACACACACACTCACACAATTAAAAGTAATATCGAAAACACAGGAATAACTTCCCAGGACAGTCCCAAGGTAAATCAAACCTTTCACCTTGGCTTCCTTACTTCTTCTCCATGTCTACGTAGCATGTCTGTGCAGGTCATGTGCATGTGTGGGGACAGGTGGAAGACAATGGCCAACGTCTTCTCTGACCACCTTATTTACTGAGGCAGGGTCTCTCACTGATGCGGCTAGTCTAGTTGTAGTTTACTCAAGGGTTACACTATGGTTACTGTCCATCCTTCTGCTGGGCACTGGAACACATGCTCTGGCCCACATGTTTGTGCTGCAAGTCCTTTATCCACTCAACCATCTCCCCAGCTCCAGTTTCCTACCTTTCAAACAAGAACAATTTCAGATAATAGTAAATATCTCGTGGGAATGTGTATGTGAAGTCCTTAGCACAGTTCTTAGCTGAACTGTGCTCCCTCTGAGGCACACAGAAGTAATTCATTCACCCCACCTACACGACACACTTATATCCAAACAAGTCCTAGTATCCATAATGGTCTAATGTAGACTAAGCAGAGAAAGAAGATAAAAGTCACCAAATGGGTTTCCCCCTTATTTATTTTTATATGTGTATGGGTGTTTCATGTCCTTGTATGCCTGTGTACGTGTATGCCAAGAGTCTGAAGAGGTCAGAGTTACAGACTGTTGTGAGCCACCACCCACTGTTGTTGGTGCTGAGAACTGAATCCAGATCCTCTGAAAGAATAGCCAGCTCTTAACTGCTGAGCCACTTCTTTAGCCCCTATTTATCTTTATTAAGGTGAGGATGGAGCCAAAAGCTCTATATTTATTACCAATATTATAAGCATATGAACAGATAATAGTAACTATATTCAGGCAATTATCAACACCATACAATCCCCACTTAAATTCAGTAGTTCAGATGGTGGTTTGAATGAGCACAGAATGGGCTTCAATTTCAACATAAGGATTTGGGCAAAAAATACTTCAAGAAAGTCTTTTAAACAAGAAGAAAGTTCATTTATGTAGATCTAAGTGAGGCTCTCTTTCTAATGTGTGAATCCCAATGAGTATGCTGTGGCATGCTGACATATAACTTTCTCTACAGCACCAACTAGATAAATACTGTCTACCTCTCAATTGTCAGACTGACTGGGAAGAACAGAGAGGAATGTTAATGGCAATCAATCAGGAGCTGGCCTCAACTCCAAATGAGTGGGTGTTACACACTACACTCATTACAACACTGCATCTATACCATTCTCAGCCTACAAAACCCAAACAAACAAAAAACAAGCAAATGTTCCCTATTCCTCCCTTTCTTAAGATTAAATCAGCCAGGCGTGATGGCACACGCCTTTAATCCCAGCACTTGAGAGGCAGAGGCAGGCAGATTTGTATGAGTTCAAGGCCAAGCCTGGTCTACAAAGCAAGTTCCAGGACAGCCAGGGCTGTTACACAGAGAAACCCTGTTTTGAAACACAGAAACAAAAGAAGAATCAAACAAGCCCCTTCCCCTTTAATCTTCAAAGTCCAAATCTCAAGATGAAGCCCAGAAAATGTGCAACATGGTCCTTTCTGAAAGGAAATTTACCACTATACTACTACAATTCTTACAGTCACTATTATTACCACTGTTACCTTTATGGTTGCTGGCACTGTTACTGTTAGTTACTAACACTGCTCTTCATTATAATGAGCAAGTATTTAATCAGTTTTCTCCACCAGCATGATATGTAACCTGTATGCCAACACCAAACTTTTAGCTAGCAGATGTGGGAGAAGTTCTCCACCCAGTTTAACATGCTGGAAGAAAAACTTACAAGTATCTTTAGAACTATGATCTTTAGATTGAGAAAAATAAAAGTCCATCCACATCACAACAACATAGGAACTGTGGGGTAAAGTAGAGCATATCTTAACAAGGTCAGGTTTAGCTTCCATCAATTCTCAGACCCTAAAACACCAAGAACACTCACTTAAACACTACTGCAAAACTCTTGTGTGATTCCTGAGCTCAAACATCTGATTGTTTTCCAACATTCCTAAAACACAGTTTGAGATTCCCTCATGTTAGATAAAGTACCAACTAATGTAACAATATTATTCCCCATAGCTGGCAATGTTACAGACCTTATGACTCTAACAATTAGATTATCTCTTTCAAACCCTATGAAACATAAAAATAGCCAACATACGTTCAATTATTTCACACAAATGGAAAGTCATTTACAGACATCTATAAGGACAACCTCAAGACCAATGTTTAAAAAAAAAAAAAGGATTCCAAAAATTGTGAATCATTACACAAAATAGATAACTGTGATTATTTTAGTTCAATATTCTTGACCTGCATGTATGTTGTAACTAGTGGATTGTTCTTTAGTGGCATTCTACTCAAGATTTCTATGAATTAAAAAAGTAAGTTGAAACAATTCTGAATAATGTAGTAATTCTGAAATTTATGAAAATATTCCAGGTGACATCTCCATCTGAACATACATAACTACAGACAGCTAGAGACTACACAGGAGCCAGAGAACATTTCTACTTTGGTCCTTTGTGAGAGTTATTATGAGGAAACAGCTCATTTAAACACCCAGTAACTTTCTAAACTTATTACAAAGGGGACTGAGGAAGTCCTAGGATTAAGAACTATCCAATGATGAAATTCTCAGAGTGGAGTTTTGCATAGAGTGGGAAAAAAAAACTTTTGTTACTCAAATAAACATGTGAACAACTAACTCTTTGACCATTTCTAATTTACCTGTCCAATGACTCAACATGTTTCAATTAGCCTGAGTTTTTTCTTTAAAGCATATGAAAATTATTCATTTGTCAAAACCACAATATAATTTTGCCAATCCTAAAACTGATTTTGATCAAACCAATTTGATTATTTTAAACTGAAAATGATGAAGCACAAAATATCAATGAGATCTTTAAAGAGCCACCAAATTTGTTTTTTAGAAAACGTTCTTACTGTAATGAGGTCATTCCCTTTAACCATTCTTCCTTGGTAAAAAATCCCATGCTTTCAGCCTCCAATTTCCACGCTAAAACTAACATAATAATCTGTGAAGAGAACATAAAGGACAGGGAAAAGTCAGGGATGATCATGGCTGCATTCATCATGGAGAACATTCTTAAACAGTTACTTCCAATCGTCAGCTATCATACACTACAGCTTCTGGATTGTTACCTATGAAACAACTGATACATGCCAGTCTTGAGGCAGTGTTTAGGAATGATGACTCTCACTCTATTACAAACTGCATTTGTATCAAGAGACAACTTGACCAACTTAGGCTGATTTAAAAAGCCCTAGTATGAATTTACAATATTAAACATAAAAAAAACTTCATATATTAAAGCCTCAATTTTTAGAAATTTATGAAAACGTTACAATCCACTTATATTTCATTTTACTTAGAAATAAAACATACATTTTCAGGTTCAACACCAATGTCTTCACAAAATTTTTCCATTCCTTCTGGCCCTACAACTTCATCAGGACCTACAAAGACAAAAATAATTAATATATTTTATTACACCTTATTATGAACATGAATTAAATTATTACACTAAAGGCATCCATGAAAATATCCTAATGCTTTTTTTTTTTTACAGATAAGTGAATTTAAATTTTAGCAAAGCTCTGAGAAGTATAAATATTTTAAATTCTTATTCCTTAAATACATTACACTATGAATTAAGGACTTTTTTCTTTTCTTTTTTAGGTCTCACTATGTAGCTCAAGCTGGCCTGGAATTCATAGAAATTTACCTGCTTCTAACTTTGTATGCTGGGATTAAAGGTGTGAGCTATCACACCCAGTGAGTTAAGGACATTTTTTTTAAAGGAGCAGTAAAGAAATATTCCAGGATAAACCTTAATAGTATGCAAAAAGAACAAACAAACCAACATAAACTTACTTTTTAAATCTCCTAAGAATTTATTCTGAATAAAATTTTTGACAATGTTAAGGCTCTAAAGCATAGGGAGTTTGAATTACCTTTTTTGTTTCTTATTTTAAATTATATCACTAAAAGTCAATGCAATTCTTGAACATTTTTTTGTTATCGGATTCCCAAAATAGAGTAACTGCTAATTCTTCTGTACCTAGGAATGACCTAAAACAAATGTTATGATTTGAAATATGACTTAAATTTATCACTACAAAAATGTCTTGAAACAATGTTACATTATCCAAAAGAAGCTTTGATTTTCTTTATTATTAAAAAACCTTGGAAATAAAAAACACCAGACACTACAATTAACCAGGCCAATGTCTACACACCTACATGAACTTCTAGATTGGAAAAGCACTCAAAAGTTTCACATTGGATTTTATGCTTTCACCACTGGATGTATTTTTATGCACTTATCCACTACCAAAAATGAAAATCCCAGGACAAGAGTTAGAACTAGAAAAACAATTAGTTTTGTTTATATCCTCTATGGATAACTCATATCTATTTCCTTTATCCTATTCTTCCTCAACCCCTAGTAGTTCAGCCTTTCTTGTTCTTTTCTACATGGTGCACTGTCTCTACATGTACACAAATATACATATTAGATTCTGAAAACAAGAGATCATGCAGTTTTCTTCTTGAGACTGTGTCCTCCTTGTATATTTTAACTTTCCTTTCTTCAACAATTAGAAAACACTTCATTTTTAGCTAATCAAGGTGACACAAGTTTATAATTCCAGCACGTGGGAAGTAGAGGCAGGAAGATTAAGGGTTCAAAGCTAGCCTGGGCTACACAAACAAAACCTGGATCAAAACAAAACAAAACTCTACAGACTTAAGTCACAGACTAAACTAATTTTAGCAGGTACATTTCACAGTACTATAATTAGGCTACAGATACAACACAAAGCCAATGTCTTATAATTTTTCTTAATAAAAATATACAGCCCTCTACTATGTGATGAATAAGGTGTTATTAGCAAACAAGTCGAAATCAAAGTAGGTACTATATAAAACATACATATGATCTTAGGTAGACAAGGTCTGTAGTGTTAAGTGACTTTCCCAAAGCAATGGGAATAATAGACCAAGTGTAAAGAAAGCCTACACCTAAGTTCACTCCCTGACTGAATGTCAATAATACTTTTAAACTATAGCCTTCTCATAAAACTACAACTGGGTAAGAGATGTGTAACTGAATTCAATTAATTCTTTCAAGCTCTTTGATTTCCACTTAATAAACAGTCATGGAAATAATTTAGCTCACCTTATATTGCATTTAAACTATGTAATTCTATCTTAATTTTTAATTCTTTGTGACAAATTAAAAAATGTTCTCTATCTTTTCCCCATAGAGGGCTAGTATACAATGGCTTTCTATATACTAAGTTATACATCCATGAATTCAACAAATTGCTCACTAAAAATATCTCGAGATAGTCAGGCATGGTGGTACATGCCTTTAGTCCCAACACTCAAGAGGCAGATCTCTGTGGGTTTGAAGCCAGCCTGGTCTACAAAGTGAGTTCCAGGACAGCCAGGGACACACAAAGAAACTCCATCCCAAAAAAACCAACAACAACAACAAGTCAATGTGGTCTACATAGCAAGTTCCAGGCCAGCCACGGCTACATAGTGAGCCCTGTCTAAAAGAAAGAGAAGAAAAAAAGCATCTGAGCATCTGGAAGATAAAGAATCCCTCTGTACTGCACACACGCAGGGCTTTGCTCCTCTAACCACTACTCAAATTTTATATAGCATTTACAGAGAATAATAAGTAACCTATACATGATCACAAGTCTCTAAGAGTAGGGTACATGGAAACATCACCCCATTTTATGTAAAAACATAAATATTCCCAGCTATATGTTCAAGGCTTAATAAAATGCCATAATAAATACTCAAACAAAAACCAAAACAAACAACGTGCTTAGTGACAGTACCTTCACAATGAACTATATAAGAGATCAGTTAACACACATGCATACATTTGAAGATGCTCTAAGGCTGTTAATAGTAATACTACCTAACATAATGAGTTCTGACATGTATCAGGTACTGTGCTAAGGCTTTGCACGTATCATCCACTCTTGAGTGGGCCTGGCTTGTCTCCACCCTGAAGGATATCCCCATTTGATAAGAACATGTACTGTTCACCAGCAAATGACTGATCTCCTTATTAAGGAAGCTTCCAACAAAATAGTTTCTGCAGACACTTCCTTAAGAACTGTTTGAAATCCTAGTACTTCCACATATTTGTATGAGCCTTCACAAGCTGTAATTTCCTCACCTATACACATACTGTTTACTGTAGGTCTTCCTCACAAGAAGTCACATTTGAAGGCAGGGATCACATCCTGATTTTTTCATTATTATATCCCAAGCTCTATCACAGAGTTGGACTCACAGAAAATATTTAATAAATATTCATCAAGTGACTCACTAAATGACAGAAGATAACCTCAAGTGTACTTTATTAACTTTTTTTTCAGTAGAAGTAAAAATGAGCTGCTATTTGCATAACTTTGTCTTGAGGGTCAGTCAACTATGGTTTGAATCCTGGCTCTTGGACTGTATCATCACTGGTAAGCTAATCTAAGCCTCAGTTTTCATTCATAAAACAAGGATAACATCTCTTACTTGACAGATAGGTATAAGGAAAATGATATACTTATCACAATCCCTGGAACAATGATAGCAATTATTATGCTGGCTGTCAAAAACGTCAGAGTTGGAAATATTCAATTCAAATCTTAGACTACCCAGGGAAGTTTCAATAAGAGCTTAAAAAAAGGATATATACACACTATATAATCTTTATGGTGTCTAGTAACCTTTGTAAGTGAATAAAGTTGATGAGAACCTTCTGATTCTATATAATGTATATGTAAAACTGGCATTTTAAATAATGGGTCAACATTTTAAATAGAGGTCAGTAAAAAAAATGAATTCTCTACATTTAATTTGGGTTAGTGGTTGTCTTGGGATACCAGTAATAGCATTTATTTCCCCTGATCTAGAAAGATTCTATTCTGCTACTAAACAATTTTAAATCATACAATTGGGATCACTCTGCTGATCCCAATAGCAAAGTTGCTGCCCCCTTTTCAAACTAGTCTAGCTTTCCATAGAGTTAACTTTATAAGGTGAAACGCTACACTTTAGACCTTAACATAGTTAGTACAAATATAAGGCAATAACTACTAAGTATTTCTACTTTAAGAAAATACTTTTGAGAATGATAATGATAAAGGAAGAAAAAAAATAAAAGTAGGAAAGAGAAAAAATAGTTTTAATATCAGGGAAAAACTGTCATATGTGCTCGTGAAATTATCAGTAAGTGGGAAATAAGTTTGTTTCTTTTTGAAACAGGGTTTTTCTGTGTAACAGCCTTGGCTATACTGGAACTCTCTTTGTAGACCAGGCTGGCCTCCAACTCACAGAGCGCTGCTTGCCTCCAAGTGCTGAGATTAAAAGCACATGTCACCAAGAATTCTTGTTCATGGGTTTGCCTCACTCTGGATCTAGATCTCATCAACCACTTGTCGGACTCAGCTCAGGTTAGTCTGCTCCTCCAAGAAGGTTCTCCTGATACTTTCAAGGTTGAGTTTTGTGTCTTGTCAAAAATCATGTGTCTTCACAATCTACTACTTAACATACTATAATATTATCATTGTTTTTTATTGCTGTATTTGTTGTAAAAATTAAAATTAAAGGGTAAATGTGTTGTACATTGTCTCTGAAGTTTAAATTGTTTGCCACACCACCCCAGAAGCTTCAGAAAATGTTTCTAATTCAGAAAAAAACAGAGAATGGTGAACAGAAAAATGTTTTGCATACTGTTTTCTAGAATATTGAATAGAAAATGCTTTATGAAGCTGGGCGTGGTGGTATATGCCTTTAATCTCAGCAGAGCAGGTGAATCTGAGCTCGAAAGCAGCTTGGTTTACTCAGTGAGTTCTAGGCAGGACTATAGAGAAAATCAAAATAAACAAATAAATGTTTTACTTACTTCTTTCCCAGAATACTTATCAATGCATTTAATGTGACTATTTCTATTTATACACAAACAGTAAATGAGTTTCTTCTCTCCTACAGAGTAAGAACTAAAGAAATACTAGTCTTGAAATGGCACTAAATTCTTAGCCAACTCATAATCCCCGTACACAGTACTAAAACCTAAAAGTCCAGCAATAAATAATGTTTAAAGAAAAAAAAAAACACAGCTTTTAAATGTATATGACTGGTATCTTAATCCATGAATTTCATTACCTGCATACTCATAAAACCAAGCCAGGCACTTCTTTCTTGAAAAATCTTCCTCTCCACTGATCAGTCTGGCAGGCGGCTGGGATCTGCAATAGCTTAGAAAACACACAAATGTCTAGGACTTACTAAGACTCAAGTCTTAATGAAAAACTCAACAGTTGCTTCCATGCAAATGAAACACAGCCATTTTTAAGTTAGCATTATGGGAGAAGGAGTGAGGCATTAACAATATGGACCTGTACTCTATGCATAAGAATTTCTGACCAGAGCAGGGTGGTGGCGCATGCCTTTAATCCCAGCACTGGGAGGCAGAGGCAGGCAGATCTCTGTGGGCTCAAGGTCAGCCTGGGCTACAGAGGGAGTTCTAGGAAAGGATCCAAAGCTACACAGAGAAACCCTGTCTCAAAAAAAAAAAAAAAAAAAAAAAAAAAAAGAAAGAAAAAGAAAAAAAAGAATCTCTGACCAATGAAAACCCAAATGCTACTTTGCTTGCTACCAAATTCCAAGAACAGTAACTAAAATTATTTCCCCAGATTTCAAGGTTATAAAGAAGTGCAGCCTTCAACCCAAGACTAGAAAAGAAAGTATAAATCTCTTTGTCTCTCTGAACTAAGGGCTTTACTCACGCCACTGGGCTTGCCCTCTAAGCTATATATACCTTATTGAATGCCGAAAAGCCTTATTACGGTTCTGCTACTGAGTTGTATGGAAATACCTACGTTATAATTTAGGTTGAATCACCTGAAGTCTAATGATACTGCCCTTCAGCTGTTTTAACTAGCTTAGATATCTTAGATATGATTCTCAGAAACAGCTCATAAAGGTCAAGCAGAAAGATAACTATCAAAGAGCATAAAGGAAATTGTATCACACTAATCATCCAAGAAATATTACTTAGGCTCTTTTGCTAAAACACACCATGAGGAAAAAACGAAAAACAAAAAACAAAACAAAAAAAACCCAACTGACTACAAAAAGATGAGGATTAAACAAGTCACTTTCCCTTGTATTTTAAGCAGTGTGTTTCTCACAGCTTCTCTTCTTAAAGAGATATTTCCTTTGTGTAGTGCTGGCTCTCTTGTTTTAATGGTAGCATTTTAAGTTGTCACTTTAAGTGTCAAAATTAACACAAAGACAACCCAAAGAATATGGGAGGGAGGAAGCCCACTTCTTAGGCTAAAATGCAGTGACTTTCCGTAGCAATAACGCTTCTGTGCTAACTGAATGATATGCCACAAAGGGAGCAAAGGGCTCTAGCTACAGTTCTGCTTTGTTTTCTTTTTTTCTAAGAGAACACCGAGCACAATAGCTTACAAATGACTAAAACTGAAGACTAACAGCGTCTGAAGGCTAGAAAATAAAAAGCACGCAGAGCCCCTGTAGGGAACTGGTACAGGTGGAGTGGGGCGCTGCCTCCAGAAGCTGAGGCGCCAGCGATTTAAAAGGCCTCCTGCTGAGGTGGTCCAGGTTAGGCCACTTCAAATGCTAACTCAGGAGACCAATTACAGCATAGGTTTCCTTTCTACCATTCCCAAGGCAGCTGTCAAAATTCTTCACGCTCTGCTCCTCCTTTCTTCACACTGTGACATTTAACCATGTGTGGGCCCAGCCAATTCTTGATCTCGTGAGCCCCAGGGACGCTGTGAATCTCGGCCCTCCCCGTTTGGGAGGGAGAAGGCAGAGGGGTAAAGAGCACGGTTTACGTGTGGTTGTCTGTTTCCTACCCTCTGGGCACGCAGACAACAATGTGGGGCGAACCTCAGAGCTCGTCCACGTACGCCAGAGCACACGCACAGGCGAACACGAGGTCCGGTCCCGCGCGGAGCGGAGACTCGGGGCTCCTCACCGACCGCCCCGCCGAGGACAGGGCTCGCCCCTCTCGCCACGGCCGGCAGTCCGCCGCGGCGGCCCGTCCCGCACCGGAGGAAGGCGATCCTGCGGGGTGGGGGCAGCGGTACCTGGAGATTTTACACTTTTTGAGGCCCGAGTCTTCCGCGACCGCCGCTGCCACTCCGGGGGCTTTTCTTTTCTTCTTCACTGGCATCTTCCGCCTTCCCCGGCGAGGTGGACAGGGCGGCCGGGGAGGAGGGTCGCGCTCCGCCGCAGCGCCGGCTCCCGCCTGCCAGGGACCGCAGCGGAGGCCCGAGGCGCGACCCCGCGGCGGCGGGCCCTAGGTCTCCTCCTCGGGGGCGGCCCGGGGCAGCGCAGCGCTTCGCCCGGCGGCACCGCTGCTCTGGCTCTCCAGGCGCAGGGAACGCCGACAGCGCGGCACCTCCAGGAGTCTCGAAGAGCAGCAGGCGGCTCAGCCTGACCCGGAAGCGGATGGCTGTGGGCCGGAAGTGACGCGGCGAGGAGGCGCGGGGGCGGAGGCGGGCTCCTGAAGGCTCTGCGGGCACCTCCGGGTTTCCAGGACTGTCGTCTCCGCTGCTGGAACCTGCTTGTCCCGAGTTTCTCGGGCGATGTCCCGCGGGAAAGTCCTTATAAAATCATGAACGCTCCGCAGCTGTCGAGCGAGGTAATCTGGTGAAGAACCACGCGCGAGTGTGCCCACTCCTGACGTGCAGCGTCTCCAGCCACTCGGGTGTTCACCGTGGGCCTGAGATGAGCTTCTCACGCCCGTCTCAAGCTTTCCGTCCTGCAGAGGCGAAACAACGCCAACATGTTTTACTTCTGGGGAATTCGCCTCTTGGACAAGAGACTTGGAGAACTGACTGACTGACTTACTAAAGAGGGCTTCAGGGAACGGTTTTGATGGGCTGCTCCCAAGATAACTGTAATCACGTAACTTCTAAAATGGAAATATTGTTTATAAGAAGGGTTATAGTATGTAAAGATTAACTCCTAGAAGATGCTTAGTGAAATAAGTTCATGTTTGTAAGCTGACTGTGACAGAAGACTAAGTTTCTTTAAATTCTATTCCTATGGTTCTGTGACACCGTCGTGGCACCCCAATCTAGTCAGAATCAAGGAGAAACACAGAAAAACGGGGCTTGTAATGAGTCCCAAATACATAATACGCCCTGGAATTCACAGTTTTGTGAGCCAGGACATTTCAATGTTTGGTGCATATACTTAAATTTTGTAACAATGAAAATAACGTTCAAACCTATAATCTTTTACCTCTATTACAAACAATGCACGAAGCATTGTTTCCACATGAAAATTACAAAAGCTAAGCTCTATAAACAGAGCTACTTAAAGAAAGTAGAGGACTGAAAGATAAGGTTTTTTTCGTAAGTATTTATTGTTTTTTTCCCCCTGAGACAGGGTTTCTCTGTGTAGTGTTGGTGCCTGTCCTGGATCTTGCTCTGTAGACCACGCTGGTCTTGAACTCACAGAGATCTGCCTGGCTCTGCCTCCTGAGTGCTGGGATTAAAGGCGTGTGCCACCACTGCCTGGCAAAAAGTAAGTATTGTGTTATTGGGGGAACACTTGTGTGCCAAAGCTGGGGTGTAGAGGTCAGAGGACAACTTGAGAGAGTTGGTTCTCTCCCTCCATGGTGTGGCTCTTGAGGGTCCAACTTAGGTTGTCAGCCTTGGCCACAATTACCTTTATTATCTGAGCCATCCCTCTGGCTCAAAAAGGATATTTTAAATACATAAAATCTGAAGAGTCAAGCTAGGTAAGTGCCAGAGACTTGCGGTCTCAGCTGCTTGAGAGACTGAGGTATGAGGATTGCCAGTTCAAGCTCAATCTGAGCAGCTTAGTGAGTCTCTCTCAAAATAAAAAGTAAAAATGTTGGGGAAAGAGCTCTAGGACAAGGTCACTTCTTTGCACGATTGACACCCTAGTTTCAATCCCTAGTGCTGAAAACAGTCTAGCTATCATAAAATCTACAAGTTGAATGACCCAGATTCTGTAAAGGAAATGCATGCAAGACAACTTTTTGGTTAATAGACATATTTTATGTTTTGATTGAGGTGATGGTGTATGTACTTGTTAAAATGTATTGAAGTATGTATTTGTAAATGTCCTACTGGTATATTATTTCTCAGGATGTTTATATGAAAATCACAGAACAACCAAATACAACAAGCAATGGCAAAAAAAAAATGAAATAAAATAAAAAGCTATTAGAGCCAAGTTTATTTCTTCAATATATTTGCATTAAAGGATGCATAGGTCTTTCCTCAGAAAACAGAAGAAAGGGATTAAAGCTTAAAGACAGATAACTAAGAAGACAAAGTTCAAAGAATATCCTTCTAGAAGGTGTAGTCAGAGGATAAAGAACTCCACAAGCCTTTAGCAATATGCCAGCATCGCTATAGACCAGGATCAACACCTTCCATTCTTTTGTAAATAGCATTAATAAAAATTGTTTTGTGTCCTTTGTCCATCATTGTGTATTGGGTCAGAATGCAGAGCAGGTGATTAATTAGTCCATACATCCTTGAACTATATGGGATGAGTAAGACCCCAACACACCTGGACATTCTAGGCATTGAACTGAGTGCAGTCACTCCATAGGGGCTCCGCTTGTATCCATGGGATTCTCTGGAAAAAAAGAGATGAAGATGTTGGATTTTATGTATGGTATTCATTGATGACCAGTTAAGCCAGATTTGATAAAAGGTAGATAAAAGGCATGTTCAGTAGCACACACATAGGCAAACAAAACTTTCTGCACTCATGGAGCGAACAGTCCAGAAGGAGAAATATCTGTAGCATTCATACCCATCTACTTCTTCATTGCCTTCTCTGGTCAGTACCTACTGCCGCCACTATACCTCCATTGTCAAAATCAGCTCTTATCCCAGTTACTTATGGGGAGGGGCATCATATCTGCTCATGAACAATACAGAAACATCTAGTTATGTGATTTAGTATTTTTCTACTGCTTACAAATACATGTGATAGTTTATGATTTTCACCAAAAAGTGTGGTAAGAAGATATGAGGGCACTGCAGTTCTTTGGTAAGTGGTCTAATTTTCATTGACTGTAAGTAACGAGGAAGGGAAAGGAAGTAGTATTAAAGCAGAAATTTGTTCTGATTTAGATCCAAAGACACTCAGCAACTTTAGGAAAGTCACATAACTCTATCCTTTATCTTTTGTATTGTACTACAGGATGTTTAAAAAAAAACCTTCAAAAATACACAATAGCTATCTGTTAGGACAGTGGCATAAAATGTATTCTAATCATAAAGCACACAAAGGCAGGTCTGTCATTCACTTCACATTTTGGTGATTTGCATATTTCTAAGATTTGGGGGACTGTAGAATAAAAAAATGAAAAAGAACTTTTAAAATAGTTATATCTAATTAAGAAAGCCAAAAATAGTGCCAGAGATGTGCTAACATATATTTGGTATAGTTTGTTTTTTTTTCCTGACACTTTTAAAAATAGGATTTTTCCCACATTAAAAAAAGCAAGCAGTGCAGGCACTGAGGGACTAGGAGGCCACATTCGATTGTGTACTGGGTCCATACAAGTGCTCTACAGTCCAAAAGTTACTGCTGCTTTTTCAAACACTGTAAGTCAGAGTTTTATGAAATTTTTCCATTTGCATAAACCCAGAGAAAATTAACCCTAAGAAAACAGTAGAGAATGAGATGTCAAATCAGGATTTTCTGTTTTGACATTTCGGGAAAGCACACAAGGACTAATGTTGAAGAGTGATGCAGAGATGCAAACTAGGTAACAGGCTACTTGCTCTGCTCATCCTGTAGTAGTGTGTTGGACCGCATCTGCTGTAGTGGCCTTGGGACTGGTTCTTTGTGGGGCCCAGACTGACAGAGTAACCGGTCTGGAACACTGTCATCACAGTGACTCCTGTGAAAGGTTAACAGTGAATCCTATGCCAGTGGTTAAAGGTTCTTTCCTGAATTGATACATCATTTTTGTTTAAGTCATAAGGCTTCACCTGAGGTCACTAGTGAAGAAATGTATTATATACACCCAGGCAGAGATGGGTGCCAAATGCAGCCTACTGCAGTATGATATTCTACTGAATTTTATCCAAGGTGCTGAGAAAAAATGGGTTCATAGAACAGTTCTAAAGGGGCAGTAAGGAAATTCTCATGAGCAGTGGTATGTGACTTCTTAGGGACACACACACACCCCTCTTCACCCCAGGTAGGGCACCAATGACAAGTCAAAGACACAATTCCACCCAAGTCTAGCTTAATGAGTTGAAGGGTTTATCAGAGTCACTTACAGAATGTGGGTGACTAAAAGGCCCTGACCCTCACTTCAATTTTTTCTTTTTTAGTGTTTTGAGACAGGATTGTCTTGTGTAGCCCTGGCTGTCCTGGATCTCAGTCTGTTAGACTAGGGTAGCGCCGAACTCACAGAGATCCACCTGCCTCTGCCTCCCTGAGTGCTGGGATTAAAGGCGTGTACCACCATTGCTTGGCAAAAACAAATTTTTTTTATTTGAAAACTTTTACATTCATTTATTTGTGTGCCATGGTATGTGTGTGGAGGTCAGAGGGAAGCTTGAGAGAGTTGGTTCTCTCCAACTTTCCTACCATGTGGGTTCTGGGGATGAAACTCAGATTATCTGTCAGTCTTGATGGCAAGCACCTTTATCTGCTGAGCTATCTCATTGGTCCATGAAAAATCTAATGTTATTTTCAAGGTCCCTGTGAATATTGGAAAAATGAAAGCCAGAAAACAATGAAGTACAAGAAGAAAGAGTGTTAAGAATTGTATACTTGGACTGGAGAAATGGCTCAGCGGTTTTGAGCACTGGCTGCTCTTGCAGAGGTCCTGAGTTCAATTCCCAGCAATCACATGGCAGTTCACAGCCATCTTCTGGCATGCAGGCATGTATGTAGACAGAGCACTCATAAATAAATAAATAAATAAATAAATAAATAAATAAATAAATAAACCTTAGAATTGTATACTTTTGGAAAGATTGTACCTCCTCAAATTCTAGATTTGAGATCCTGGTTAGAAAGTTGGGTGTTACGCATCAGTTAACCAGGGACCCAGAGGGGCAGAGCCGATTGCTGATAAGAACACTAAATACATGACAGTAGATTCGTGAACGTATTGCCTAACATTATAAAATCTCAAACTTCCAATTTGATTACGTATTTCAGTAAGGAAGATGCCAAGCTGATGCCTGAAAAGTGAGCACTGAAATGCAGCCTCTTTTCCTTTAGATTTATTTTAGCTACTGAATGAGTAAGTTGACATGGACAATATTTTGATGTTCTATCTGCATAGCAATAGGGTGTGATGTCAGAAAGTTATTTTATCACAGATTTTCCCAAAAAAGATGCTAGGCTATGAAGCAGAACACTCTAATTTAATTTCATGTTATTCAATGATAATTATGCATAAGTCAAAATGGAACTAGAAATAAA